AAATGATGTATGGAGAGGTGGTAATATATGGGCAGTGATATACGGACGATAATATGCTACACAAACATACTCCATTGACATAGTGTGATACATCGTTACTGAATATTCTCGAGAACTTTGAGTTATACAATTCTCGTAACGGATTCCACACTTGTGCGGTTAAACTGACCTCATATTGCGGTTTTCGTTCGAGCCAGATGGCTCGCGAAAACCGCCTCCTTTCTCTCTCACTAAAGTAACCTTTGGGGGTTAGATCCGGGATTCGCGGTCCGCGAACATCCGTCATTGGGAATTTTTGTGCCACGGGCTGGCTAACGAGCTTCTCTAAAGAGGTTTAAAATAGTGTATCTGATGGGACATACCGTATGTGAATTGATCACTGATGAGCAACTGAAATTCCCCAACTGAGGCCGATTCCTTAATTTTTCTGGCAGCAGGTCTACTTGTTTCACACTGAAACTTGTGTTGGAACGTTCTCCTCACACGCGGCTATCAGGGAAGCTTGAATGGAATCGCGCAGTCCTTGGGTAATTTATGCTGTGACGGTATAGGACCACAGTTTCGATGTCGGAATCTACGAATTTGAGGAGTCTTTCTTTTATCCCTGGTAGGAGTAACTTGACCAAGGGCTTGACGATTCCTCACACATGATTGGTAGTGACGTTCACTTACTGATCAGTGGAGTGAGGACAGATCTCTGTGCGCACACAATTAGTGTGGGCCGCACAATTCGAGCAACGTGCTGATGTCAGGCTGGCATTGTCAGTATTTCTTGAGCGTTCAAGGTGTTCCGTGCTTATCACCACTCTCACATTCATATGAAGATATTCTACATTCTGGCTATCCTGCTCGCCCTGGGTGTTGTTAACGGTGATGTTCACGTGGATGATACCGAGAAGATCTTTTCCGACATGATGATGAATAGGCAGGCCGATAATGGCGGTCATGTATCCGACTTCGACCAGAAACAAGACTCGCCTAACAACCTTGGAGAGCCATTTTCTTGTGCTGCGTGTAAAACCTGCAAGACACTGAGGTATGTTCCGGCTATCTGCTGGGGAGTATATCTTGGGTGTGGCGGTAACTGCCACCAACATTGTTGTTGACTGCGGTAATTCTTGGGATCATCCCAATGGGATGGATATATTTGATGTTTTTGCCCGACCAACAAGCCAGGTGTAGTGTACATCTCCCATACATGTTCAGACATGACTTTATATCTCGACCCATTTTCATTTCCTCAGCTAGAATTTCAGTCGCGTCGGTCCAAGAAAGTTATCTGATGCAAAACTAGTTTCGTGGTCAGCCTCAGGATGCC